GCGTTCGGATGAGTTCGACATGCGGCGCGGGAGGCCCGTTTGGCAGAATTGGTGACAATGCTGATTCACGTCTGGTTTTCGTAAGAATTCGAAAGCGCGCAGACTTTTTTCGAACGCTGATGTTGCAAAGCCATGTGTTTAGTTGTAATATGTTTTCGGGACACTCCCTTTTTTCTACTCCTCATGAAGCGGAAGGTTTTTGAATGGTATCGGCATGCGCGCGCGACGACGCGCGCATGCGCAATTCGTCCCATGTGATGCAAAAGGTTACTTGCGACAGCACGCGGCCAAGGGCGTTCGAATGATTTCGACACGCGCGCGGGGAACAAAATGCCCGTTTGGTAGCATTGTAGGAATTCGCAAGAGCGCGAGCGTAGTTTTTTTGGAAATCCTCCTTGCGAAACCATGTGTATTCAAATGTTTTTGTGGCAATCGATGTTGGTGTTTTTTTACGTGGCAATCGATGTTGGCGTTTTTTTTTACGAAGCCCTTTTCCTAAACAAGCAACGATTCTGGCATGCGCGCGCGACGACGCGCGCGTGTGCACTTCGTCCCGTGTTTGCTAAGGTTGTTTGCAGATTGTTGATTTGGGATAAGCGAATGCGCGCGCATAGTCCTCTTTGCAGAGGATGAAGGGGGGGATGCCGGCTTTGCTGGGGATGATGCGATTTCATATTTGGGACGGCGTGATCTTGCACCGGGTGGGCGGTATTCCAAGCAATCGACCGAGCGGGCGCCAGCAGGCGGGGCGGGCGGGCGGACCCTGACAGGCCTGACGGGCGCGTCGGGCGGACGGACCCTAACGAGCGGGCTGGGAGGGCGGTCCCTGGCTGGTGGGTTGGCCGGGCGGGCGGGACATTGTAGTGCGATTTTTGGGCAGCGAGAGCTCGATTCCTGAGTAGTGTCTGAGGACGTCCTATGAGGCAGCGGGAGTCTCGAGTAAAGCGTGAGTACGCCTCGAGCGAAAGCGCGACTCACGGGTAATTTCCGCGTGCGGAGCAGGCAGGAGCCATTGTAGTTGTAGCCAGGGGCCAGACGACACAGTTCGAGACTCGGCGGCTTCGGTTCTAAATGGCAGGGTGCGAGCGCTGGGGGGGGGGTTCACTTTCATTCTTGACACTTCGCGTGTCCCCCACCATTCCGTACTGGCCTTCGCTTTGCCGCTCAAATCGCGGTTGCTCTTTCCCTCCACGGGGTCGTCGGCCGTCTTTGGCACCGTTCTGACTTGTGCGCCCCCACCACGTGCGGCCGATTCCCTGGTCTCAGGCTTGGGTCTTCCCCGTGGTGCCCTCGCCCGCTTGTCGCCATCTTGGTGTGCTGACTTCGAGTTCGTGACGTGTTCAGGATTCGTGGTGGGTCTACCTGGCGTCACTTCACGCACTGGTCCGTGGTGACCCGCGCCATTTTGGCTGCGTGGCAGCTTTGCTGCTTCCCGCACTCGTGCGTTCTGCTGCCTCGGGACTATGCGGCTACGGCCACCCTGGGATTTCGCAGCCTGCCAACGCTCTCGCCTCGTCTCGTCATTAATTCTTTGACCGACGGTCCTTCGGGCCATCCTGGTACTCACGCAGTTGTCCGGGGTTGCGTCCTTGCATGAATTTCGGCTTCTGGCCCGGGGCGTCGTGTGTCCCGTCTTCCTGGTGTTCCCGACGCTATGCATACTTGCACGCTGGCAGTACGACTCAGTTTCAGCTGCCCCCCCACTCGCCGGTCCGCCGCTGAGCTGCTGCGTGATGGCCCAGTTCGCCGCTGTAGGTGTGGCCACCCTCCGTCGCTTTAGTTTAATTCGTCGCTGCGTGCCCCGCTTTGACTGGACGCGCCGCCGGCGCGCTCGCCCGCGGCCGCTGACTAAAAAACGTATCCCCCACCAGCCTATCCAAAACATCATCTGGCGAGTTCCCTTGATCAGTGAAGTGTAGCAGTATGCAGTAGAACAACAGAGGGTCAGCCGATACCTTTGAACAGGGAAGGAGGAAGGAGGCCGAAACGGAGGAGGAGGAGGAGGAGGAGGAGGAGGAGGAGGAGGAGAGGAGGGGGGAGAGGGGGAGTTGGAGAGGAAGATAGGAGGACGAGGAGGAGGAACAACAAGAAAATTATGGAGGAGGAACAATGAAACGATCACGACGACGTCATCGGCGGCGACAGCGGCGGCGAAGACGACGACGACGATGACGACGACGACGACGACGACAGGTGTCAATCATCAAGGCTTTTGCGAGCCTCTCGTTCTGGGAGCCTTTGGAGGTCTCTTGGGGTCATTGTGCCCTTTTGGGACCATTTTGGATTCCTTTGGGACCCTCTTGGGTCTCTTGGGCCCTCTTGGAGCTTTTGGGACCCTCTGGGGGCCGGAAGCTTCAGAGTCGCCTGTTGAAGTCTTCCTGGGACGCTCTTGGGGCGTTCTTTTTCGGTATTGGGGCCCTGTTGGGCTCCGCTTGGGGCTCTTGTGGGCTATCTTTGAGTCATGTTGACGCTTCCACAGTCGACCGGAAGCGAACAGGCGAGAAAACAACACCCATTCATGTGTATGTGACTTTGGTTTTGGAAGGGTGTTGGACAGGTTTGGGCCTCTCAGGGGGTCCTTGGAGGCTCCGTGGCCATGAAGCAGTCTTGGGGCGGTATTTGAGCCTCTTGGAGGCATGTGCGAGGCTATCTGGAGCCATCTTAGAAAATCTTGTGTCATTTTGGAGGCCATCTTGGGCTATCTGAGGCCCTCATGGAGCCATCTTGGAAGCTCTGCGCCTCCCCCTTCCAGACCCAGGGCGAGGGGAGCTAGGGGAGGGGGAGAGGTACCCCCCCCCGAAGGGAAGGAGTTTGGAAGGACTGACTCGTTAAACCACCTACGCCGCCCAACGAGCTGGTGCGATAGAAACCTACTGGGGTCTGGTGCGGAGGGATCAACAGGCGCAGCCGTCCACGAGCCTTTTCCTCCATGAAGAATTGTCCCCAAGACCTCTCCTGGGGCGCGCTGGGGCCAGAATTTCGAGTCGGATCTGGCTGTGGCGAAGAGGGCGCCCCCAGAGGGTCCTACAAAGGCCAACAACACGGGCCGAGCAGCTGCCCTGAGATCCGACGTCACGAGCAGCCGCAACATCGTCAAACAGCACGACCAGGGCCCCAGACCCAACCCTTCTGCGGCCCTTTTCGAGCCAGGGGTCCCAGGCCCCGCCGAGACTGGGCGAAGGCGCCTGGTGCGAGAAGATCGCAGCTCCGCACCTCGGGGCGGATGCTCTGCCCTCCCTCTGCCCTCCTGGTGGCTGGCCGTCCACGGGCCCCTCCAACAAGAAACGCCTGGGCCCGCCCTCAGCGGATGGTGCCCGTGCCCAACCACCGCGCCTGGCCAGGGCCACCCCGCGGGCCCCTGGGTGGTGCACAGTCGGCCCGGATTGGTAGGCTGGCCATGCCAAATCGAGGGTACACGCTGGTCGTTGAAAGTAGGTACTTTTGGGTGCCCAAATCCTAGTATATTGTAGGCGCCTTCATACTCCAAGAGAGTCGGGTGGTATTCCCTCTGCCCTCGTGCTCAGGGGGCGGTCGGAAGCCCAATCTACTTGCAACGCCTACCTACTTCGTGTTCCGATTCATTTCTTGCGACCGACGGGTGCCCTGATGTCCTGTCTATCCCGACTTTGTGCAACCCGCATGTCTTTGGGTGTTCTGGGGCCACATTACCTTCGCGAGAGGCCTGTGTCCTCTCGGCTGTCCTGTCCAATCAAGTCCGACTGTACTCGCAGACCCCCCTGGCCTCGGCCTCGGCCATTAGAGTGCGCTGGCACCACGTCAGGGCCCTGGTCCTGGTCGTCCGACGTCGTGTCTTGTGCAGCACGGGCCCCCCGGAATCTTCCCGACCCTCTCCGCAGGTCCAGTGTCTCGCCGTGAGTCCTCCGCTGACGGAGCTGAGGCCCGAACACGGTGTCCGGAGCCGAGAATTGTGGACGGTTTCCGCCTTGATCTTTAAAGCCGTTCGAGGTCTGGGGCCAGACATGGTGGCGTTCGGTGGCAGATCATGGGAGCCTCGTATGACCATGTCGTTTTGTTTTAAAGTGAATCAGCGTCGATGTGCGTCTGGTAGTCGATGAAATGGTACCGGTGTAGAGTCGATTAGCATCGATTCAGCGTGGATAAGCCTCGGCTGGCGCCGATCAGCGACGATCCGCAAGGGCCAACAAGTATGGGATGTTCCCATGAGTTGCCGACGAAGTGTTGCATGGCATCCCGAGCTGCTTTCTGATGGCCCTGGGTCCGGGAAGCGGCCAGCATCTGGGCCGAAAAGCTGGCATGTTTTTCCCACGGCGCGAGGGGGGTCTCATCGGGTGTATGTGGCCCTGGACCAAGCCCAGACAGGCTCGCGTCGTGGAGTAGTCGGGGCGGAAGGTTTTGGATCGACTTAGACCTTCCAGGGCCCTCACCGGGCCCCAGGACCGTCAAACAGCTACTCAGGATGAAAAGCCAGCCCCGGAGAAAGAGCGTGGACTTCCAGGGACTCCGCATTGGCAACATCAAGGCATCATATATCTGGGAGGTGATCCCAGCTTTCCCGGGGAGGCGCAGATGGCTTCCATATCACCTCCCACGAGGCCCAGAGGGCCCCAGAGACTCCAGAGTGATCGAAAAGCTGGGAGCACCTTCCCTGACATCCGCCGATCTAATTTTTTCAATGCCTGGTCCCAGAGGTCCTCATTCCTTCCTCGGGGATCGGTGTGCATCCGGGCCCATTTTTGATGGCCTCGCGGCCTGACGACGGGCACCAGAGGCCGAAATCGAGGAATCATGTTGGAGAAATCACATCGTCGGACAGGCGGTGGTGAGCAAGGTTCCATCTGCTCTAAGTATGGGGTCTGAGTAGATGGGGTCTGAGGATCTCGCCGCATCGCTGATGCATCGGCGATGCGGCTCGCCAAGGAGCCCAATTTTCTCCAAGCCGACGTTGCCCGATGCATCGGCGAAGCCTCGCCGATGCGGCGCGACCTTCCGACCCCATTTGCTCCGTCCCCATGTGGGAGGCCTTCGGTTACTCTGCGCCCCCGCCCGTCATGCCGGCGCGCGCCCCGCTGGCCCTGGCCGCCCTCCTCGCCGCTTGCTGCCCGCACGCGCCGCGCGGCGCCGCCGCGGGCGGCGCCGTCGCCGTGGAGGTCAGGGGTCGGCCAAAACGTCGTTTCTGCAATCTCGTGGATGGTTTTATTGTTCTCTTCGTTTTCGTGTCGTTTTCATGTCTGCCATTGTGGACCCCAAACAGTGGTTTTGAGTTACTGCGCTCAGGCAGCAGCCGGGCGGCAGCGGGCGGAAACTGGCCGGAACGTAGCGAATCCTGGAGGCACCCCCACAAGCGGCAATTGGCGGCAAGCGGGCCAGAACGTGGTGAATCCCCGGGCCCCCCGCACTGCGGCAACGGGGCCGCGACAAGCTGGAACGTGTCGAATTCTGGGGACATGCATCCAATACTCTAGAAAACGCGATTTAGACAGAGTACGGGTCCACCAAATGGCCAATCGGGACTGCAGATTTGCGACAAAACGCTGTTTTGGGGGAATCCGTCGGTCCGTGCTCGTGTTTTGCAACGCTCCAAGACGAAGACGAAACGAAAAGACAAAAGGCTGTTTTGGTCAACACCCGGTGGAGGTCGCGGCGCATAGGCAGGCGGACAGCTCCCGGAGCCTGCTGGAGGACCCCTTTTCCCTCCTCCTCTCCTCGGCACCGACCCAGAACTCCGACCATGTCTCTTTTCAATCTGATCATTTTTCCTAGATTTCGCCCTCTGGGCCCATCGTCGGGCGGGTCTCATCGTCGGGTCCCGGGGCCATCAGCACTGGATCTGCGGCGAAAAACTGGCCCCGGGGAAGGGGTCGGGACCTCTGAGGCCGCGGATTGAAAGCATCAGATCGGCGGATGCTTGGGGAGGAGGGTGGAGGGAGGATCAGAGGAGGAAGTGTCGATACCGCATTCACTCCCTCGTCGCCACGGCTCGACTCGCCTCCAAATTTTCATCAGAACGCGTCCCAGGCGAGGTCCAGAGAGTAGCAATATCGGTACCGCTCGGTTTTTCCAGAAGTGGGGGAGTGAGGATGAGGTTCCGAGCGATGAAGGGTCCCCTGGTGCGAGACAGAAGCTGCACAGCTTTGTGGGTGAATTAGACAGCATGGCGCAGTTCCTGCACGCACGCGACGCCCCCTGCAACAGCAGCAAAGACACCAGAGGAGGCTTTGCGGCGTGCAATCGTACAGGCTCCAGAGGTCGGCCTGTCTGCGGGTGCTTCGCGCGCATCGCACAGAGCGAGGAGAAGGACGAGGAGGAGCAGGAGCAGGAGCAGGAGCAGGAGAAAGAGGAGGAGGAGGAGGAGAAAAAGGAGGACCAGTGTAAACCCAAGGGTCAGCAACGATGCTGGCGTCAATCCTCCCTTCAAGCTCGCTCTTCATAGGCCCTACAACGGTTAAGTTCCGTTGAGGGAACTGCCCCGTTGGAAGACAGCCGTTTGAAGACCCTGATGCATGCCAAAACATTGTTCTATTCTCGGGATTCCAACGCCACGGATCAACCTGACTGTTGCGCCTTGACGATCCTGAATCGTGCCAGAACGCCAGTCTTGGGACCTCAACACACATAATCAACGTAACTGTTGCGCCCGCACCTTGAACCCTTCCACAACACAATTTCTGGAACGTTGATGATGAGAATCCGTGCAACTCGTGAACATGTTGTAGACGAATATGCGCGGCGCCAAGGCGAGAGCCACATTTTGAAAAAGAGCCGCCCTCAATCCGGGAAGCTCTTGCAGAGTTTTGCACGGATGTGCGCCGCAATCGGGCGAGAGCCACATTTTGAAAACCATCCGCCCTCAATCCGTGAAGCTCTTGCATTGTTTAGAACGAATGTGCGCCGCGCTAAGGCGAGAGCCACGTTTTGACAACGACCCGCCCTCAATCCGTGAAGCCCTTGCAATTTTTTAATGCGGATGTGCGCCGCGCTGAGGCGAGAACAGCATTTTGAAAACCATCCGTTATCAATGCTTGAAGCTCCCTGCACATTAAAATTATCCTCCGACGTACCCAACCCATTTGCATCAAGTGGCCCGATGAATCGGCGAGTATCGCCGCGAATAACGACAGTGTAAGCGCGATGTGTGTATGTGCGCGCTAGATGGGATGCGCATATAATGCACGACCCAGAGGGTAACGATCCGATGGACGAGATTGTAGGGACTACGCTCGAAGAAGGACGGGGGTGAGGACGAGGGGCAGGGGAAACCGCAGCAGCAGAGAGAAGGTTACAAGGGGAAGAGGACCACGACGAGAGAGGTGAGGCGAGGCAGAATACCACGTTTTTTTTCCCAGCAAGGCGTTGAAGATGCAGCGCTGCCTGCGTCATGTTACAGTTAATGCAAAAAGCGGGCGAAGCCTAGCTCGCCCGCTAGCTTCTCCGCCTCCTTCCTGCACTTCTCAGTGCGGGAGTTAAACGCCCGCAGGCGCGCCGCCAGGTCTGCGGGCGGGCCGCGGGATAGGAACTCAAGATCGGGTTGGCGCACCATCAGTAGGTTGGCCACCGTCGTCGCCTTCGAAAGTGGCCACAGTTTCACAGATCGCACGCCTCCAGTGATGGCGAGGGCTGAGGTCCCCAGCAGGCCTCGAAAGTGGCGACAGTTTCACAGATCGCAGCCCCCCCAGGGATGGCGAGGTCTAATCTGAATCCACCGTAAGACGTACCTCCGCTGGGCTCCGCAGCAGACCTCGAAAGTGGGAACAGTTTCACAGATCGCACCCCCCCCAGGGATGGCGAGGGCTGAGGTCCCCGGCAGGCTTCGAACGTGGCGACAGTTTCGCAGATCGCAGCCCCCCAGGGATGGCGAGGTCTCCCTCTTTGCTGGCCTCCCCAACAGTCCTCGAAAGTGGCGACAGTTTCGCAGATCGCAGCCCCCCAGGAATGGCGAGCTCTAATCCTGATCTGCGGTGAGTACCCTCTCTGCGGGCCTCCCCAGCAGCCCTCGAAAGTGGCAGCCGTTCCGCAGATCGCAGCCCCCCAGGGATGGCGCGCTATTATTCTGGTCTGCGGCGAGTGCCACCTCTGCTGGCCTCCCCAGCAGCCCTCGAAAGTGGCCGCAGTTTCGCAGATCGCACCCCCCAGGGATGGCGCGCTATTATTCTGGTCTGCGGTGAGTGCCCTCTCTGCTGGCCTCCCTAGCAGCCCTCGAAAGTGGCTGCAGTTTCGCAGATCGCAGCCCCCCAGGGATGGAGCGCTATTATTCTGGTCTGCGGTGAGTGCCCTCTCTGCTGGCCTCCCCAGCAACCCTCGAATTCGGCAACAGTTTCGCAGATCGCAGCCCCCCTGAGTCCGCGAGGGGGAGGGAGGAGAGAGGAGGGGTGGCGGGAGCGGAAGGAGAAGCGCAGGCGGTGCTCGATTCAAAACGAGAACCCAACACAGGAGGAGGTGGGAGGAGAGGAGGAGGAGGAGGAGGAGGAGGAGGAGAAGGAGGAGGAGGAGGAGGAGGAGGAGGAGAAGGAAGGAGACGCGACCCCACTGCTCTCTCCAAAACAAGAGCCCAACCGAGGAGGGTTGGGAAATAGTGCTTGAAGCTCCGTGCACATTATAAATGGAATGTGCGCCGCGCTAAGGCAAGAACCACATTTTGAAAGCCACTTGCCCTCCATTTGTAAAACTGCTTCCAATTCTTGAGTTAGAGGGTCATTCATGGTGAGGAATTCTGAGGCGAAGCGCCTGGCCCGCCCTAAATCTGGCCTCGGGGTGCGACAGGGAGAAGTTAGTTATAATGGAAGAGGAATGCAGGAGCATGAGGAGGATTATGATGAGGCGGATGATGATGATGATGATGATGATGATGATGATGATGATGATGATGATGATGATGATGATGATGATGATGATGATGATGATGATGATGATGATGATGATGATGATGATGATGATGATGATGGTGATGATGCTGATGCTGATGCTGATGCTGATGCTGATGCTGATGATGAGGAGGAGGAGGAGGAGGAGGAGGATGAGGATGAGGAGGAGGACATGAACTGATATGGCTTAAGGAGCGCCTTAACCCCGTACCAGTGGACGTAGTGGCATTGCGTTGCCGCGCCCACAACGGCGGGATGGCCGAGCTTCGGCCATCTATGCGGAACAAATTCCTCGGATGCCTAGTTATGCCCTCGGTGTGAGGGTCGGATGCCGATGAGTCCCTTGGAGACAGGGGCCGGCATCCTAGGTCTAGGCTCGAGGTTGTTGATGCCAGCGCCCGTCAACCGACAGGGCTGGCCATCCAAGCCAAAGCTGGTTCCCACAGGATACCAGGACTGGCAGACAGCTGCCGCGCCCGCAACGGCAGGATGGCCGAGCTCCGGCCATCTACGCGGACCAGTCGCCCTCGTTGCGAGGGTTTGGATGTCAGGCCTGCATCCTGGCTGTGGGCTCGAGATGTTGGCGGCGCGCCGGAGGGGCCATGGGGGGAAACTGGGCAAGTCTATCTAGTAAGAAACGTGTTCCACAGAACCCCCCGGAGGACGAAAGATAAATCCTCCCAGGGCTTCTGAGAAGCACCCAGCCTGCTGAGAAGCCAAGCCCCGTCCTCCTGCCCCCTTCGGAGCGCCGCCTTTGGATGCCAACGCCCGTCCATCGACAGGGGTGGCCATCCAAGCCAAATCTGGCTCCCACGGGATACCAGTAGTGGCATGCAGTTGCCGCGCCCGCAACGGCAGGATGGCCGAGCTTCGGCCATCTATGCGGGCAAGGTTCCTCGGATGCCTAGTTTTGCCCTCGTTGCGAGGGCAGGGTGCCGCAGGGTCCCGTGGAGACAGGGGCGGGCATCCTAGCTCTAGGCTCGAAGTTGTGGATGCCAACGCCCGTCAACCGACAGGGCTGGCCATCCAAGCCAAAGCTGGTTCCCACAGGATACCAGGACTGGCAGACAGCTGCCGCGCCCGCAACGGCAGGATGGCCGAGCTCCTGCCATCTACGCGGACCCGTGTCCGTTTCCTCGCATGCCCAACTGTACCCTCGTTACGAAGGTTTGGATGTCAGGCCTGCCAAACAACAGGTTTGGGCACCCTGGCTGTGGGTTACGAGATGTTGGCGGCGCACCGGAGGGGCCATGTGGGGGAAACTAGGGAAGGCTATCAATGATTCACAGAACCCCCCGGAGGACGAAAGAGAAAACCTCCCAGGACTTCTGAGAAACACCCAGCCTGCTGAGAAGCCAAGCCCCGTCCTCCTGCCCCCTTCGGAGCGCCGCCTTTGGATGCCAACGTCTGTCCATCGACAGGGGTGGCCATCCAAGCCGAATCTGGCTCCCACGGGATACCAGGACTGGCAGACAACTGCCGCGCCCGCAACGGCAGGATGGCCGAGCTCCGGCCATCTACACGGACCAAGTTCCTCGGATGCCTAGTTATGCCCTCGTTGTGGGGGGGGGCTGCCGAAGGGTCCCCTAGAGGCAGGGGCGGGCATCCTAGCTTTAGGCTCTAGGATGTGGATGCCAGCGCCTGTCATTCGACAGGGGTGGTCATCCAAACCCGCACTGGCCCGCCACAGGGCACCAGTACTGACAGGGTTGGCCGTGCAAGCCAGAGTTGGCACCCAATGGGTACTACGACTGGTTTCAAGCTGCCGCGCCCGCAACGGCAGGATGGTCGGTTTTGGGCCATCTAGGCGGGTCGTGTCCCTCGAATGCCCAGCTGTGCCCTTGCTGCGAGGGTTGCGCGTCAAGCCTGCCATAAGACAAGCTTGACTCCCCGCTGATGGGCTCGATTGTTGATGGCAACGCCTGTCCATCGATAGTGAGGGATGGCCATCCAAGCCCAAGCTGGCCCCCGCAGGATGCCAAAAGTGGCATGCAGTTGCCACGCCCGCCGCGGCAGGGGGGCCGAGCTTCGGCCATCCTCGCGGACCAGATTCGTTGGTCTCTCAGCTGGGCCCTCGTTGCGAGGGCAGGATGCCAAAGCCTGCCCGGAGACAGGACTCGCAATCCAAGCTGTGGGCTCGAGGTTGTTGATGCCAGATCCTGTCCAACGACAGGGCTGACCATTAAAGCCAAAGCTGGCTTACTAAGAAGTATAGCAATCAGTATTGGCCATCTACAAGGCTGGCCCTGAGTTTGCCTCGCCCGCAACGGCAGGATGGCCGAGCTTCGGCCCTCTACGCGGACCAGTTACCTCGAATGCCCTGCATGTGCGTGCTTGCTGTGGGTTCGAGGCGGTTGATGCCAACCCCTGTCATTCTACAGGAATGGCCATCAAAGCCTGAACTGGTCCCCGCAGGATTCCAGGACTGGCTTTGTTGCCGCGCCCGCAACGGCAGGAGGGCCGATTTCCGGCCATTTATGCGGGCCAACTTCGTGCGCCACTGTCGCCCTGCCGTTCCCTGGAAAAGGGGTTACGCAAGGGTGCTCGTCGAGTTCCGGGAACTCTTAGTGGCGCCCTGGGCGTCCCTTGCGCTTTTCCCCTTAAACAGGATGGAGCGGCGTCGGCCCGGCCCGGGGGGAGGAGGAGGAGGAGGAGGAGGAGGAGGAGGAGGAGGAGGAGGAGGAGGAGGAAGAGGAGGAGGAGAAGGAGGAGGAAGAGGAGGAGGAGAAGGAGGAGGAAGGAGGAGGAGGAGGAGGAGGTGGTAGAGGACCTGCTCCCTGAGCCTGCCCCCGCGAACCTTTTGTCACAAAAGAGGGGCCCAAACCACCTCGCGTCGTGAACGTTATCACGACGGGAGGTCTTTTGGGAAAGTTCGTCTTCTGGGGGCCCTTGCTGGGCTCCAGGAGCGTCAGAAAATTACCTGGGATGAAGAGCATGTGCCGATGAATCGATCTAGACCTCCAGGGTCAATGTTGCGAACAAGTCACCACATCGACGGTCTGGGAAGATGGAGGAAGGAGGAGGAGAGGTCGTCGTGATGCAACCGGGTTACGAAGGAATTTGGCCTTGTGCTTTTTTCGCCCATTTTCGGGATCCCTGGGCCCTCCTTGGGTCCTTGGGCCGCTGGACCGTTAGACAGCGAATCATGATGAAGAACTGGTCCTGGGGAGAGTTCCCAGGGTCTAGGACCCGTGTCCCTCAGGACACTTTTACGTAATGCTGAATTCATTAGCACAGAAACGGGAGGAGGGAGGGAGGAGGAGGACCTGTTCTTCTGGTGTTGGTGGTGGGAGGGGCGCGGAGAGCTTAGCCCATCGGGCCACCGTGCCTGGGACGATGCCTCTCGGGGGCCAGGGCTCTTGCGGGCTTCTTGCAGGGCACTTGGGGGCCTCTTGGGCGGGGCCGTCTTGGGGGCCGTCTTGGGGGCCGTCTTGGGGGCCTCTTGGGGGCCTCCTGGAGGTCTCAGGCGCATCGCCCGGCCCGCCCTACAGAAACGTCTGGGGCTGAAGAAAAACGGATGGGGGTCTGGACCTCCCCTCCCTCCCGGAAGGGGCTCGAGCGCCAGTCCTCCGACGCCCAGCTGGCCCAGCTCGTGCAGGACATGCCCCAGCGGCTGCAGAAGGCCACCTGCGTCGTCGTCGACGCCGTCGCTGTCGCCGCCGTCGCCGCCGCCGTCGTCGTCGTCGTCGTCGTCGTCGTCGTCGTCGTCGTCGTCGTCGTCGTCGTCGTCGCTGTCGTCGAGTCGCCGCCGCCGCCGTTGTCGTTGCGGCCACTGGCGCCGTCGTTGGGTCGAGGAGCAGAGTCTTGGATCCGCTTGGTCGTCTTGGAGCTCCTCAGGACTCCGAATGGCCTCAGCGTGGCGGCCGAGGACCTCTGGGTTCCCCTTGTGGTCTTCTCGCGGTGACCGCCTGGGCCTCCCCACGATCACGACCAACATCTGCGGAATAATGGTCCCCAGAGCCCTCCTGGGGCCCATGCTGGCCAGTTTTTCGGGCCTCGTCCAGCCGTGGCGACGAGATCCGCGAAAAACGTTTTCTGAAACCTCTCCAGGACAAGATCACGCCGTCCATCGCCGTCGTCGTCGGCGTCGAACGCCGTCGTCCGCCGTGGTCGCCGTCGCCGTCGCCGTCGCCGCCGGCGGCCGCAGCAGGTCATCGGCGCTCTGCGCGTGCTCACGCGGGATGACTCCGCCGACGGGGACCCGGCGCCACCCCGGGACTTCGTCCTCGGCGTCGTCGTCGCCCCCTCCTCCTCCTCCTCCTCCTCCTCCTCCTCCTCCTCCTCCTCCTCCTCCTCCTCCTCCTGGCAAGGCTTCGGGTCTGAACACCTCAGGGTGTTGTCACCGCCACAGGTTACTAGGGGGGCCTGTTGAGGCCAGCTGGGACTCACTACTCGGGGGGCCTGGTGAGGCCAGCTGGAACTACCTGAAGGGGCCGTTTGTACTCAACCCGAAGCCTAACTACCTTCCTTGTCAGTTTTTTCCCGAAGAGTAATGAACCCGGCGCGACCTCAATGTGGGGAAAGTTTTCTATTGCATGGGCGGATTGCTTGGCGTTCCTTGGCGCTGCTTGACATCAACTTGGCGCTGCTCTGCTTTGATTGGCGCTGCCTGCCATTTCGTGGCAGTCCTTGGCATTGCTCGGCATTGATTTGAGCTGCTTGGCATTGCGTGGCATTGTCTTGCAATTCATGGCACTGCTTTGCATTGCTTGGCGTTGCTTTGTGTTGCTTTGCCAGGCCAGGGGATCCGAGGAACAGGACCAGGGAAGCCGAGGAACCCGCGCCAGGAAGAAGACACGGTTACCTGGGGAACCCAAGGAACAAGACCGGTGGACCCGAGCAGCCCAAGCAAGGAACAAGACCAGGGAACCCGAGAAACCCAAGCAAGGAACAAGACCAGGGAACCCGAGGAAGGAAGGAAGGCCCCTGTGAGGAAACAAGACCAGGGACCCCCAGTGGAGCCCATGATGTCAGGAAGCAAGATTGGGGAACCCCATGCAGGGAAGGCCGGCGACGTCCGCACCCTGTACCCACAGGTTCTTCAACAAAAATAAGAAAGCATATCTAGGCGAAGCCTAATAGGGGGAAAACGCAGATCCGATACATCCGCGCGGAACTCTAGAAGATTTGTTATTTCCCTTGACAATGCTTACATTTAGGGGCTCGTACTTCTGTTGTAGGGAACTGCGCCTGGGTGGCAGTCTGGCGGCTATGTTGCCGCCGTCTCCGCCCCGTCGCCGCCTCGTCGCCGCCCGTCGTTGGGGGCCTGGGTGGCGGTTTGGTGGCTGTATGTTGTCGTCGTCGCCACAACGTCGCCGCCTCGTCGCCGCCCGTCGCCGGGGCCTGCTTGCTATCCTTAATATGAACTCGCACCATCCCAGCCCAGCCGGTATCGCCCCCCCCCCCCGCCATCCTTTGCAAAACATACTATGCGCGCGTACTCGTTCATCAACACTCATAAGTTTTCATGAGTCCCCTTGCCAAACATGAGACGAAGTGCACACGCGCGCGTCGTTGCGCGTGCATGCCGAAATCCTTCAAAAACCTTGGTTTTCGCAAGGATTTCATAATCGAGTGTCCAAACACGGATTTCACAAACAAACTTGCGCGCACGTTCTTGCGAATTCTTAAGAAACCATATTTTGTCCCCCAACCCTTTCCGACCATACTACCGAACGGTCTTCGCGCGCTCATGTCGAAACCGTTCGAACGCCCTTGCGCGCGTGCTGGGGTGGCACGATCCGTGTCAAATAATACCATGCGGGCCACTCTGGCGCGTCTGCCGCGCGCGCATTTCGAATTCATTCCCAAACCTGCATCACCGACGCGAAGGCGCCGTCATCGTCGTCGGCGTGATCAGCATCGGCACCGTCACTTGCTGCCCCGTCGTCACTGTCAGCATTGTCGCCCGCATCGCTACTATCATCATCGTGTCTACCGTTGTCGACCATCATACCGCGTCCGCCCAATTCGCCGACTTGCACTGAAGTGCCAGCTGGGATGTCCCGAGCGGTCAGCGCCACCGCGTTCGCGTCGGCCGCGCCAAATTAGCTGGCCGCTGCGCGCGCGAGCATGCGTGGGCTAGCGCGGCCGCACAGATGCACCAGCTACCACCAAACACGCATCGCAGTCGCTTCCGCATGGGGTTTGCAAACCAAGTTGTGGGTGGCTGGGTGGGGTGATTGCGCGATCAGTGGAGTTGACATTTTCAAGTTCGGCAAGTGATTTGCACCACCTGTTAGCCAGCGTCGGCCCCAAACATTGTGTTTCTAGCAATCGTTGTTGTGCAACCTGTGTGGCGACATCTACGTGGTGCAACGCACCAGTGCTCGCAGCGAGTTGTCAACTCCACTGCTCGCGCAAGCCACCCGCAACTTGGTTTGCCAAACCCATGCGACGGCGATTGCGATGAGTGGTTGGCGTTATCCCCCCGTCCGCGCTAGCCCGCGCATGCTCGCGCGCGCAGCGGCCAGCTAGTGCGGCGCGACCGGCGCGGCCGCGGTGGCGCTGACCGCTGGGTTGTTCCCAGCGGGCACTTCCGCGCGAGTCAGTGATTTCAGCGGGCGCGGTATCATGGCGACGCCGACAACGGTAGACGCGATGCGATGAGAGTAGTGATGATGGTGACGATGGTGGCGATGACGCCCGCCGATGATGACTACGATGTCCTCGCGTCGGTGATGGAGGTTTTGGAACGGGCTCAACAGTCGCGCGCGGCCTACTCGCGCGAGTGGTCCGCGTGGTGTTACTTGACACGGGCAGTGCCCCCCCAGCACGCGCGCGAGGACGTTCGGATAAGTTCGGATTGCGGCGCGAGGCGCGAGGGGCCAGAAGATTTCGCAAGAGCGCGCGTGCATGTTCTTTTGCAAACTGATGTTGCGAAACCGTGTGTGTGTGTGTGTGTGTGTGTGTGTGTGTTTGTGTTTGGTATGTTTTCGGGACATTCGTTTTTCAAAATCCCAACGACACCTTAGGTTTTTGAGCAATTGCGGCATGCCCGCGCGACGATGCGCACGCGCGCGCACATCGTCCCATGTTTTTTGCAACGGGTTCTTGCGACAGCACGCGCGCCAGGACGCCCGAACGATTTCGACACGCGCGCGTGATAGGCCACTGTGGTGGCGCCGCAAGTTGAAGAACCTATGGTATTCGTAAGGGTCAGCAAGAGCGGTGACGCAAGTTTTTGTTTGAATGCCCGTGTTGCGTAGTCGCGTGTTTCTTTCTATGTTCCGTGACTTTCGACTGTGCAGTCTTACGACATCGACGGTTTTAAACGGATTTCGGCATGCGCGCGCGACAACGCGCGCGTGTGCAGTCCGTCCAATTATCTTGGTTTTATAAATAAAATCTTGAAGCATAATGGCTTTTGATCAACGAGTGCGCGCGCATGCTGTTTTTTTTTTTTTTTGGGGGGGGGGGGCGAGGATGATACCATGCGGGTCACTCTTGCGGGTCGGCCGCGCGCGCATGTCGAATTCCTTCCAAAACCTTCATTGCCGACGCGAAGACGCCGTCACCGTCGTCGGCGTAATCAGCATCGGCGCCGTCACTGGCCGTGTTGTTGTTGTTGTTGTTGTTGTTGTTGTTGTTGTTGTTGTTGTTGTCATCGTCGTTGCCCGAGTCTACTGATAGCGACGTTGCCATGGTACCGCATGTGCCCACGTCGCTGACTCGCACTGACGTGGCCGTTGGGATGTGCCCAACGGTCAGCGCCACCGCGGCCGCGTCGGCCGCGCCAAACTATACGGCCGCTTTGCGCGCGAGCGCGCGCACTGGCGCGGCCGCGGCGATGCGCCAGCCAGCGCCGAGCAGTCATCGCACACGCCGCCGCATGGGTTTTGCAAACCCAGTTGGATTGGATGATTGTGCGAGCAGTGGGGTTGGCAATTCGACATTCGGCGGGGCGATTTGCACCACGTAGCCTGTTTCACACAAAGGTTGCACCACGTCGATATAACAACATTGGTTTTCGTGCATAAACTGCACTACATACGATGCACGACGTAAGTTGCATAACGTATATTGCACAACGTTGATCGCACCATACATATTGTAGGGGCCTCCGGCCAGTGCCGCCGATCCGGGGCGCTCCGGATGATGATGATGCTGATGCTGATGCTGATGATGATGATGATGAGGATGATGATGATGCTGCTGATGATGATGATGATGATGATGGTGATAATGATGATGTTGATGATGATGGTGGTGTGACGGTTGTGATGGTGATGGTGATGGAGATAGTGATGATCCCGGCCCCCCCTCCCCACCTCCCTTCCTCTCTCTTGTCCCCCTCCCCCTCTCTCCTGTCCCCCCCCCCTCTCTCCTTTTCCTCCTCCCCCCCTCTCTCTTGCCCCCCCACCCCCTCTCTCCTGTCCACCCCCTTCCCCTCTCCCGCCCCCCTCTCTCCTGTCCCCCTCCTCCCCCCCTCTCTGGTGTCCCCCCCCCCTTTCTCCTGGTCGCCCCCCCCCTCTCTCCTTCCCCCCTCCCCCCCCCATTTCTCCTGTCCCACCCCCCCTCTTTCCTTTCCCCCCCCCCTCTCTCCTGTCCCCCCCCCCGCCCTTGTCCATCCCCCCTCCCCCTCTCTCTCTCCTGTCCCCCCCCTCCCCCCCTCTCTCCTGTCCCCCCCCCTTTTCTGCTGCACAATCATTCGATATGAATACTACTCTGCTCCTTCCCCTGATGACGGGTTGGGAGTGTTCGCCCCCCCCGCGTATTGTTTTTTACACACAGGATTCCCTGGAGTTGGGTTTCCGCTTACATTGTGTTCAAAATGCTGCTCTCGCTGAGGCGCCGGCTTCATTTTCGGGCCCCGCTCGTTCCGAATCGTGCTCCCACTGCAGCGCTGGCATCATTTCCGTGCTTCCGCTCGTTCCGAATCGTACTCCCCCTGCAGCGCTGACCTCGCTTTGTGCTGTAGTTCTGTAGTTGGTCTTCCGACTTGTGGAGCCTCGTTCTGTGAACAGGTCGCGGCCATTGTTGTTATGCTCTCTCTCTCTCTCGCACTCTCTCTCTCTCTCTCTCTCTTTGCTTTCCGTCCTCGCGGACGCCGTAGGGCTGATAGGAATATGGGCGTTTTTTTTATATCGCTATGCCCGCCCCTGTCCGTTGCTGCCTGTCGTTCGCGCTTTCCCCTTTGCTTCCCTCCTCGCTCCTCCCTCCTGGATTGCCGCTGTGTGTGCTTTAACTTTATGTTTGTGGCCGTTTGGGCCACAGGGGATCTTCGCACGGCGCCGCCCTTGCCCCTCCTCCTCCTCTTCCTCCTCCTCCTCTGCACGATTTGTGAGCTTCCCGTGAGAGGCGATTTGAGGTGCACGCTCTGGGTCTGGAGGCATACAGACAGCGAGACATGCTTTGCGTTG